GTATAAATATTTGGTTCTGTATTTAACAGTTCTAAAAATTTATAACAGTAATAGGTAATAAGAGAATTCAGTCCTAATAAATGCAAAAGATAAACAACTATTTTAATTCTAATTTTTTATTAGCACATCAGACATAGAAAATATGTATCCCTGTATGTAAACAGCCCCCCAAAAAATACAAACAAAACTATAAATGTCATATATAATAGTAAAAATTTAAAAGCATTTCTTTTCAAGTAAAAACAAAAAGCTTGTTATTATTATTTCAATTTAATATTGTGCAGGAAATTGTAAACCCTTTTTTGGCTTTTACAAATAAATCAGCTCTTTTATTTGCATTATTTTGAGCAGTCTGATAATGACAGTCTTCACTGATATTCTTGAAATCCTGTTTTTTCTTTTAATAAACTTTTCAAATTAGACAAGCAAATAAATAAAGAGTAAAAAACTTGGAAAGGAGGAAAAAAACTTTTTATAGAACCAAACAGCATATTGAGAGTACTAAATACATTCATTCCGCTTATGTATGACTTAGATTATTGCATTTACTGCATGACTCAGTTCTAACTAGCATAAGGGTCAGTAAATTAGTTGCTATCTTTGAAAATGTTAAATTTTATTTCAAGTTAAACATAAATAAATATAAATATTTTTAAAGCAGCCGAATGTAAAGGATTCTATGTGTTAGGATTGATAGACTAGGGCTGGTTAAGGAAGTCTTGGAGAAAGCTTTTCTCATCCTGATTTTGAAGAGAGGGATTATCCTTAGCCTGTCTGAAATTATAGACCTGATTTGATCAGTTGTAACTGGCACACTGTTAGGCATTGGATTTAGAACTACAGACAAATGGACTTGGTCTCTGCTCTCATTAACTCGTAGATGTAACAGGGGTCACTTTAGCAGAATAACGTCTTGATTAAAATGGAATTTGGAAGACATTGCCTTGTCCTTTTGTAATAATTTGATGAGAAAGTCACAGAAAAATATCCTAAGTCAGTTCAATATTTCATTTCAACATCACAGTTCAATATTCATTACAACATTTTTATCAGTTAGGTATAACGTGTGAAGATATATAAAACATTTTTTATTCTCATCAAAGATGATCTGAGTCTTCTTTCCTGGAAATGGGCAACTTTTGCCAATTTTTTTCAACTTTCTATCTCCTGTGTGTGCTTTTTTTTTCCCTTCCATCCTGACATTGATTATATAGAGTGCTAGCTGCTAAGGTCAAAGGCTTTGATTTTATAATTTACCCTCCTTAGAGTGTGTTTAATCCTTCTGAAAATAAGATGCAGAGGGTTAGACACAATTACTGTTGTTAATAGGAGTTAATAGCATTTCCATTGGAAATTATTAAATGTAAATGTTTTATAGTGTTTCAATATATGATAAACAGTTTATGTTTAAATGAAAATATTTTAATCTAAAAAAGAAAATTTGTCTGAAAATTCCAAAGAAAATATTTTTATGGCTGACTCTATGTATATGTATATATGTGTATATATGTGTATATATTTATATATATGTGTGTGTGTGTATATATATATAAATATGTATATATGTATATATTTCCCATTATCCCACTCCTCTTTTTATTAAAAAATGTGATTGGGAAAGTTGTGGTAAAAGAGCAGGTGCTGAATCTGGAATTCTTAGATATTTTGAATCACATTTCTTCTGTCATCAAGCAGTAATTCAATGATTAGTAACAGCTCTGAGCCACTGGGATAGCTGGGCAAATCAACGGATTCTAACAGACTAATTTGCTTCCCTTTCCTCTACAATTGTGAAAGATCACCATTTTATCTATACTCATACATCAATTTAAGAACAAAAGCAAAACTCCACTGCAAATTTTGTTTGGCTCATTTTTGATGGTTTCATTTCAGCAAGTCATAGAACAGTACTTTCACTGAGTTTAGAATGTAAACCCAGAGGTGTTTTGGGGTTTTTGAGAGGAGCAAAGGATACAGGCTTTGTCTTGAGGACGCTGATCATGTCATTTGTAAATCAAAAGACGCATGAAAGAGAATGCAAATTTGAGTACAAATACATGGCATAATGTGCAGAGGAGCTGGCATTTTATAAATAATTTCCCACCACATTTAAATGCATGTTAGAACTAGTTCTCAACACCACTGAAATCTCTTTCTTTAACGCTATTTATCATAATCAAAATCACAAGGGAAACTCTAAGTCAAGGTACTGTTTTTCAAGGTAGAATATTTGTGAGTCTGTTTACTCTTTGTACATTTGGTTTGCAGAATCTTTGAACATAATTCAAAGCACATTTTGAGACTTGCCCATCTTAACCCATGTGTTTACAAATACCTGAATTATAGAGGTAAAGCAGGCTGATCTGATTTCCAAATGGTCATGGGGCTTTGATTTAATTGACTGGTTTGATTTTTCAGCTACTTTTATTTCCCTTCCCAAGCATTCCACTAGACATGCTAATGAGAAATGAAATGGTCATAAGGCCGGGCGCCAGAAGGAAAGGAGTGATAAGCAAAGGTCTGAGTAGTATAAAAATGCAGTAACTGGCCAATGATATTGAGAGTTGGCGGTGTGAGGCAAATTATCTGTGACTGCATTAAAAGTATGCATTGAATTTTGGTAACATATCATTCCTCCCAGCACTGTATGAAAGAGGGAAGACAGAAACTGATGCTGATTTGCAGAGAGTACCTTTATGCAGGGTTTTATTCATTTATTCATTTACTCATTCATTTCATTTCAGGCCAGGAATCTAGAATCAATCAGTCTCTAGGGATCTGATACTAGTTCAGGAGAGATCTAAGTTTCCAAGGAAATGGCAACTCTTCTCTTTCTTTCTGAATATTTTTGAATCAAAGTTTAGTTAGAATTTTGAAAAAGCAAGTTCGGCAGGCTCATGGTTTTGGCCGAAACAATTTTTCAGATATTAGTATATTAACCAGATAGATATTATTTGATCCCTTAAGATCATAAATCAGTGTATTAATGGAAAATGGATCCATGTATCAAGTGATTGTAACATGTATAAAAATTATCCTAGAAACCATAGAATTGGTTTATTTAAATAAATAGGAAATAATTCCTGGAATGTATTCAAATTGCTGAATGTAATGAGTGTAACGTTCATGTGCTAACCCATAATTTACATTCTGTATAAATTAAAAGTTTTTTACACATGAAAGGAAAACAGTCTAGAAAAAGAAGGTATTTTCTAGCAACAGAATGGCAAATTAATCTCATGATAAATAAGGCACATATGAGGAAAAATTAAAATTGTGTTATACAGTTAGTTGTACATGAATGTTTGTTTAAAATCTGTTATATGCTCATGAGTTTTCCATAGTAATCAGGTAAGACTTAAGTCTTCTGGGTTTGGAAAAAGAGTGATTTTCCTTCCTGTAATATGCTGGACTTATAACTAAAATCATATTTATAACAATAATAAAGCAAGGGAATTACAGTGTGGTAATATGTATAGGCTTTAAAATTAGAAAGGGTCATGTTTAAAATTTGCTTGACTACTAGCTAATTATGTTACCTCCACAAGTTACACTAGCTAATTGTTACTCAACATGTTGCTTAAACCCACAATGTTTTCTGGGTAGGAATCAGTAAAATGAGAATAATGCATATTGCTAAAGCATAAGTATGCTGTGAGGATTAAGTGATATAACAAATGTCAAGTACCTAACACAATGTTACTTAATTCTAATCATGAAAAAAATATTACCAGTATTTCCTTTATGTCAAAAACATCAATTTTTGATATTTTTCTGTTTAAAATGTTAGTTTTACTTAATCTTACTAGTTGTTACCATAATGTATATAGAATTATATTTTCAGCTTTGCATAATATTATGCTGTAATAACTGTCTGAAGTGCTACAGTCTTCAGGTCATCATTTTAATTTAAAATAATCCATAGGCTTAGCATGCAATTACTGACTAAATCATTACCTGTAGTCAAACATATATTATATTTAGAGCTCTATGTATGCAGGATACTTACCACATTTGTGCCTGATGCTTTTTCATATGTTATATATTTCCCTCATTATCAATTTCCAAAAGCGACAGTATAGTATATTCAGGGTGCAACTTTTAGCTTTATAGCTTGTTAGTTGTATGATGCCCGGCAAGTTGATTAACCTCTGTGTCTCAGTTTTCTCGTGTGTAAAATGGAAAAAAATAATATGTTAATATATAAAATAATTCCACCAGTGTCTTGCACATAACAAGTATTATATAAATACATTAAAATGCTGGGTTAAAGGTTTCATGGTATTTTAGGCTACATGTTTGCAGAGTTATTACAAGTTACTGCCAATAGCAAGTTTAATTTCAGTTTTATTTTTCATTTAAAGATAGCATTAATTTCATATTTTTAAGTGTTATTCAAATATGGTAAATAATTCTAATTATTATTCTTAATTGTTTTGTAGAACTCATGTGTAGAATCCATGAAGGCAGAAGTTTTGATCTACTCATTTCCCACTAAGTAGGATGAAGAGAATATCCAGCACAGAGCCCTACACATATAGATGTGTGTGTGCACATACAGTGCATGTAAATTCCCATAGAAAGAGAAAATAAATGCTAAATTCCTAACTTTATCTTGGGCTTGAAGGCAGAAATATTTGGTGTTGAAGATTAGCAAAGATTTAATTAAAGAAAGGAAAAGGGAATATTTTTTGTTCACTTTGAAAGGCCTCTCAAATGAATTTCGATACTATTGGTCATGGGCCTTTGTTCTGAAAACCAATCTCCAATTTTTGTGGCTTTTGAAAGTTTTATTTTCTAATGAAACCTATGGTTTTCTATTGCAACTTTTTAAAATCTGGAAGAGAGGTAAAGCTCGTACATCTTTATAATCATGAGGTGTATCCAACTATATTATATGTGTATCTAACTATATTATATTCATTGCATATTATAGTTCATTGCATATTACCTTTGAACTGTACTGATTATCTACTGTTTATTATTTACTCTACATCTAGGTAAGCCAGTTATGATTGTCACAGAATACATGGAGAATGGTTCCTTGGACAGTTTCTTACGTGTAAGTAAGATGCACACACATACATATGTATTAATAATTTGCTGAAAATGTTAGAGATGTCTACCAACATTGTGCCAAGCAATTTGGTAATCTAAGTTTAAAGTAAAACTGAAATATAGTGGAAGACTGTAAAATCACATCTTTATTTTACAGCATTCAAATATTAATGGTTTATATTTTTAAAACAAATTTGCAAATTCTTCTTCAAAAGAGTCTTTTTATACTGCCAAGATTCACACCAATTAAAATAAAAATTAGAAAGAATCCTAAAGCAAGTAATAAAATCCACTGATGTAAGACAGGAAGTCTCTTTTTTATTTAAAGTAATCTCAGTCTGATATAATTATTTAAAATAATCTCAGTCAGATATAAGACAGACCATCTACTTTTCAAATAGTGCTGTCTACTCAGAAAATAAGCATTTGCTATAATGCTAAAGTATATATATTCTCAATTTAGATATATCATTTTGTGTTATTTATTTATATTAATTCTTTAGATACAGAAGCTTTAGACTCTGTTTATCTCTCTATCCATCTATCTGTCTGTCTATATTTTGAGATGGAGTTTCGCTCTTGTTGCCCAGGCTGGAGTGCAATGGTATGATCTTGGCTCACTGCAATCTTTGCCTCCTGATTCAAGTGATTCTTTTGCCTCAGCCTCCCGAATAGCGGGAATTACAGGCACCCACCACCATGACCAGCTAATTTTTGGATTTTTAGTAGAGATGGGGTTTCATCATGTTGGCCAGGCTGGTTTTAAACTCCTGACCTCCAGTGATCAGCTTGCCTTAGCCTTCCAAAGTGCTAGGATTACATGCGTGAGCCACCATAACCTGCCATATTTTGACATACTGTATTTCACCATAAGAAAGTGAATATATTAAACTTACATCTATTTTAACAAATATTATGTAAACAATTTTATGAAGTTCAAGACAATACCAGTTACTAGTCACTTGCGGGGATAAGAAAAGACATAGGCCTTGTCCTCAAGGTGCTTTTAGTGCTATATGAATTGAGATGGGTAGATGACTGAAAGATACATAGACAGGTAGATAGATAGATAGATAGATAGATAGATAGATAGATAGATAGATGGATAGATAGATAAAAATATGTAGTATCATCCATAATCATGGAGGAAAATGTTAAATTTTCTAAGAGTGAGAAAGGATATGCTTTATTTTAAAGTCCATTCGCCAAATAAAAATTTTAATAGCAATTATTTTCACAATCATTTTTTCAAAAATAAACATGTTCCAAATCAGGTGAGTTAAAATATTAGAATAAATATTCTTTAAAACTTATTGTTTGTAATTAAACATAAAAGTTTATATATATTACAAACTTTATGTTTCTATTTAATCCAATATTAAATTAGACTGCGAGCTGGATTATATGATTTAGTTTCTTATTGCTTTCTATTTTGTGACCTACAACTCAGAAGTGGGTAGAAAAACAAATATACAATAAATATTTCTGACTAATTTTGAACTATTTATGATAATGTTTAAAAATGTAGCACCCACTTTATTTGAAACAATTCATTAAATAACAGGAAACAAGGGGGAATGAAAATTCAATCAAATAAAAAAATATCAACCTAAACTAGCCCCGAGATTCGTTTCATTTTGTTGTTCTCAACCTTAGTGAGTCTGAGGAGGGGTTAGTTTTTATTTCACACAAGGACTGGGAAAGGCTTTGCTTTTAAACTGAAGTCAAAGAATGTTAAGATACTCCTGTTACAAAGTATTTGATAACATAGTCATTATGTTATTTTGTTTCAGACTTGTATCCACTTGCCACCTATCTTAATCTTGAGTGCTTAGAACTAAAGTGTGTATGGTCAGTCTTGTTACAGAGTTCAACATGTGAGATTTTAACCAATAAAGATATATCTTCACAAAAGAGGAACATATCTTAATTGTCCATTGGAAATGTTTCACAGAAACACGATGCCCAGTTTACTGTCATTCAGCTAGTGGGGATGCTTCGAGGGATAGCATCTGGTATGAAGTACTTGTCAGATATGGGATATGTTCACCGAGACCTCGCTGCTCGAAACATTTTGATCAACAGTAACTTGGTGTGCAAGGTCTCTGATTTTGGACTTTCACGTGTCCTAGAGGATGACCCAGAAGCTGCTTACACAACAAGAGTGAGTAACTCAGACTTTCTTCTCTTTCATTGTTGTATCATGTTGATTAGTAAATAAGTTGAAATCATAACCCAAAATGCATCGTCAATTATGTTTTCCACAAAAGAAACCATCTCTTAAAATTAAAATATTATTATTTTTCTGGGTATATAGATGGTCACTGTTTAACATTTAATGATTTTAATTCTAAAATTCTGTAACTTAGTTTAATGTTTCCCACCAAAAGCAGCAGGGTTCTCACATTTTTTAAATCTTGCTATTTTAAAATTTACCCATATTTTCATCATGGTTGAGTCACCTTGAGCTAGCAGATTGGATAAATTCTAAGGATTCCTCCTACTACATATAATGTTAAAACACTTTCAAATCAATGTTTTAATAAGTAACACCTATTTGTATTATAAAAATGTCAGAACAGATCTATAAAGAAAAGTTGTCCATAATTGTGCCATCACAGAAAAAAATTTCTAAGATCATGAGTCAGTTCTTTCAGACTTTTCTTGATACTCGTAATGCAAACATATGTGTGAATATATTATTTAAATATTATTATTCATAATACAATTGTATGTCATTTCTCTCCTTACCAATTTACCTCTTGAATATATTTCATTGTCAATAAATAGTCTTTCAATTTTTATTTCAGAAGATTGCTGTTTTCTCTATTCTGGTTGTATCTTTTTTTAAAAAAAGCAAATCCTAATCAGTGAGCAAATAATTATTATATTTAGTTCTTCAATATTTTATACAAATGTGTAATGATCTATCTGCATTCTTAATTGTCATGAGCCTCATAATTTCTAATGATACATTCCTAAAAATGAATGTTTTGTGTCAAAGTTTCCGTGACTAGTTTAAAAGCACATTTTACTACACTTTTGATAAAACTATCATTAATTTTATTATTTTATTATCATTAATTTTACTATTATCAGTGAGGATAAATTGAATGTAAATGTTTTAATTTGCATCCATTTAATTAATGAAGCATTTGACTTTTTGTGAGCTTTTTTTGTTGTTGTTTTGTTTTGTTTTTGTTTTTGTTTTCTTAGACAGGGTCTCACTCTGTCACCCAGGCTGGAGTGCAGTGGCACAATCATGACTCACTGTAGCAGCCTCAAACTCCTGTGCTCAAGTGATCCTCACTCCTCAGCCTCCTGAGTAGCTGAGATTACAGACATGGGCCACCAGTGCCAGCTGACTTTTAAGCTTTTCTTAAAAGAAAATTCTTTCCATGGTAGAAATTTAGAAAATATAGATAAGAAGTAAATGTATAATAATCGTTATTATTAATACTAGACAAACATAATTATTAGCATTTTAAATTTATCATTTAAATATATTTTTTTCTATAAATTTTCGCAGACTCCTCTTTTTTCATAAGGTTACAAAATGGGATTAAACTGTATATATGGACATATAAAATAATTTCCACATATCAATAAATTCAGCACTTTATATATAAATTCAATGCCATTTTGTGACTGCCTTGTTTTAACTAAAAAATAGAAAATATACAATTTTCCAGATGACTAAATATTTTTACAGTATTTAATGATGTATAATACTTAATTCATGTACATTATTTAGTTAAATAATGCACCATTATTTGGGAAGAATTACAGTGTATAAATGATACTTCAATGTCCTTGTATCCATTTCATGTCTGTCCATGATTACCTGCTTAGCATACATCTACTGAAATAACATTGTGGGATCAAAACATGTACAAATAAGAATTTTTGGCATATCTATTATCCAATTATCTTTGCTATAGTTTGTTATCAATTTTCTCTCCTAATGGCAGCATCTTCTTCTGTATTCTCATCAGCCAAAAGAATGGGTAGTTTCAAAGATCATAGCCTTCTACTGTTTTCTTATTATCTAATTTTAAAAATTTACTCCTGATTAAAAACAAAATAAAAAAAAACTCATCTATTTGCAAATCACTTGATAATTCCAATAATCAAAACTGTCACATGGCCTGCATTTGGTGCTATAAAAAAGAACTTAATGTGACAGAATTTCATCCACAATTTCATCCACAATAACAGAAACACCGAATAATAATGACACAATGCCTTTGGGTTATTTCTAGATGCATTGATATAGGAGCTGGTACTCTCCCAATGGCTTTTAACAATACACCCTTTTTGTTTTTCCTATTTTCAAATATACTCTGTAGTGGATTTACTTTGTTCATTAATTTAAGTATTTTTTTCTAATTGGAGTATTTTTTAGAAAGCACTTAGACATTTAAAATGTGTCTTGCATAAAAATGTGGTTCTTACTATCATAATTCAAATGGATAAAAGCATGACAAATTAAGGTAAATTTTACATCTTGTAGCTAGTTGAATTAAAGTTGACTACAATTATGTAGCTCTGAATACTTGATGAAATTGCAAAACGGGATAAATACCTCAACAGTGCTGTTTAGTTCTCCTTCTATGATCACCAGAAAAATTAGTCAGGCAATATATCTGCAGCAAAGCATCATTTTAATAACTGTACTATCAATTCAGTAGACAATACATGCAACAAGTGATATTTACTGTCTTGAGAAACGTATTTTATTCTACTCACTTCTACTCTCCTATCTAAGGTTATCCCTCTTAACCAGTCATGACATGAGTGTTTCTAACAGTCCATGAAAAGTATCATGCTTACTTCCATTGTTCTTGTTACAACAATCATATTATACAAGAAATACTTTTAGTTTAAATAAAAACTATTTGATAAAAGAATTTCGTTTGAAATAGTAAATTACTGGTTATTCAGTCAGCTTCTAATTTCTATGTCATATGAAATTATTATTGTTTTTGGAGACAGAGTCTCACTGTGTTGCCCAGCCTGGAGTGCAGTCTCGCAATTTCAGTTCACTGCAAGCTCCGCCTCCCAGGTTCAAACAATTGTCGTGCCTCAGCCTGCCAAGTAGTTTGGATTACAGGTGCCTGCTACCATGCCTGGCTAATTTTTGTATTTTTAGTAGAGACGGGGTTTCTCCTTGTTGGCCAGGCTGGGCTCAAACTCCTGACCTCAGGTGATCCACCTGCCTCAGCCTCCCAAAGTGCTACAGGAGTGAGGCACCGTGCCAGGCCCCATATTAAGTTATTATTCGAGAGCAACTCTGTCCCCAGAAGCAGGCTTGATTGCCAGAGCACTCAAAAGAATACTTTCTGTGGTAGGAAATGGAAACATTTATCCAACTCTGGATTAGATTCATACTATGAACACAGTGGATTAACTCTCAATATTTCATTTTCACTGATTGTTACTTTGTCAGGGCCTCTTTGATGTTAGAAGAAAGGTGTATGGAAATTGCTCGGTTTTTGTTTGTTTGTTTTTTGTTTTTCTGAGACAGAGTCTCGCTCTGTCACCCAGGCTGGAGCATACTAGCGCAGTATTAACTCACTGCAACCCCTGCCTCCCAGGTTCAAGTGATCCTTCTGCCTCAGCCTCCCGAGTAGCTGGGACTACAGGTGCACGCCACCACTCCCAGCTAATTTTTGTATTTTTAGTACAGGTGGGGTTTCACTGTGTTGGCCAGGACGGTCTCGATTTCTTGACCTCGTGATCCATCCTCCTCGGCCTCCCATAGTGCTGGGATAACAGGCCTGAGCAACCGTGCCCAGCAGGAAATTGCTTTTTAACATATCTGAAATAAAAGTGCAACAGACTGTTTGCCTTTGTGTTTCAGTCTCTGAAGATTCTTAGACACCACTCTGAACAAATAGGCTCATTCACTACCAATAAAGAGCTGTTTAGAGCTCTTGAGTATTCATCCCTGTATTTTCTTGGAACTTCCTCAAAATATCCATGGGTGTCCTGGCTTTCTTCCAAGAAGCTGTAATTTGCATGTGATTTTTAGAGTAATTTAGAAATCATTGATTTAAACTCTCATAATAGGCCTTATTTAGAACAATAAGTTTATAGTTTACCTTAAATATGAGGCATGGTTATAAAGTAATAGGATTTCTAGTTTTTAAGAAAACAAATACAGCAAACAGCTAAATGAGGTGCCATTCTAAGTTTTCTTTTTGGAAATGTGTACTTACTCCAGGAACGCTGATATTACACAAAATGTTTTGGGAATTTCTCTTTTGGGATTATATTTAAAGCTAAATTATGACTGAGGCCTTTGATCAAACATTTTTAAGCATGCAGTATTTTGGGATATAGACTTGACTGTGATAAAATCTGATCTCCATAAGCCGAGCGGGGTGGCTTAAGCCTATAATCTTGGCAGTTTGGGAGGCTGAGGTGGGAGGACCGCTTCAGCTCAGGATTTTGAGACCCACCCTGGGCAAGACTTCATCTCTAGTTAAAAAAAAAAAAAAAAAAAAAAAATCCACTACACTCAGCCTATTTTATTATATATATATTATATTTATATTATATATATATATATTATATATATATATATGAGCCACTGTACGTGGCCTAGTTTATATATAATAACACTTAATTATATATAATAAACTAGACCGGCTGCAGTGGCTCGTGCCTGTAATCCCAGCACTTTTGGGAGGCCGAAACAGGTGGATCACCTGAGGTCAGAAGTTCAAGACCAGCCTGGCGAACATGGTAAAACTCTGTCACTACTAAAAATACAAAATTTAGCCAGGTATGGTGGCATGCACCTATAATCCCAGCTACTCGGGAGGCTGAGGCAGGAGAATTGTTTGAACTTGGGAGGTGGAGTTTGCAGTGAGCTAAGATTGTGCTACTGAACTCCACCCTGGGTTACAGAGTAGAATCCATTTCAAAAAGAATAATACAAAGAATAAAAACATAAATCAGGCAGGCATGGAGATGCTCACCTGTAGTGCCAACTACTTGGGAGGCTGAGGTGAAAAGATGGCTTGAGTCCAGGAAATTGAAGCTGCAGTAAACTAAAGCCTGGTGATGGAGCAGGACTCTTTCTCTAAATAAATAAAAAATAAATAAACAGAAGAAAAGACAAAGAAAAAAATAACCATTACATTTTTGTGTACATAT